CTGCAGGTGGCCAGCTGCCCAGACGGGAGGGGCTGCTGCCAGGCCTGCTGCCTTGCCCCTGCCTTTCCCCTGGGCCCTGTGGCCTCCTCTGGGAATGCCGTGGTGGGCCCTCCCTGCTAGCTGGAGGCCCCTAGAGCTCCCAGGGTGAGGAGCGTTGATCCGGTGCCCTGCTGGGCCGCAGTCCAGAGCAAGAAGGAATGTCCTGTCCCTTCACCCCAGGAGAGCAGCCTGAGGCCTCCCCAGCCCTCTAGCCTAATGGTTTCCTCTTAAAGTGTCTTCAGATATTTTAATTAGTAACAGAGGCTGGCCTTTGTTAAGTGGCCAGCAGGCCCTGCAGAGGTCTGAGTTGGGGCAAGGGGGTCTGCTTGCTGCTCAGGACTGCCACCGTCATGGGGGGATGGGGCCAGACCAGCAGAGAGGCTGGAAGCCCACCAAGGAAAGGAGTCAAGGTTGGTGGGAGCAGGGTGCTTCCCCTGCCCCCACTCCCCCTTCTCAGCTCCCTTCTGCAGCCCCCCCGGGAGCCCCAGAGGCACTGGGCCTCCTTCCTCTATCCCCACCCGCCCTCCCTCCCTCACCACTCTCCCTCACTGGCCAGCCTGTTGATAAACATTGAATTTGGAAGATGCTTTGGGATGGAGAGGGGCCAGCGTCCAGGCACCCCCCTCCAATTAGGAACCCTGGGGTGCTGCCTGTCCCGCCCACGTGGCCTGATTCCTGGTGACACTCTGCCCCCGCTACCAGCAGCCGTCTCCTTTCATCCGTCAGCTAGCCCTGGAGCCGTGGGGCCTCTGCTCGGAGTGGCGTCCCTGCCCGCCCGCGATCAGAGAGCTGGCAGGGCTCAGGGAAAGAAGGCTTCCTCCCTCCTGCGGGTGAGCAGGCGCGGGCGCGGAAGCTGCTGGCTTTCATGTCCCTGGCAGGGCCGCGTTCTGGCTGCCGGCTGCCCTGGAGGCTGCCCGGGGGCTGGTCCTGCGCCCCAGAAAGTGACAGCTCAGGGTGGGTGTGGGGGATGGCAGCCCAGTGCCCTTTTTGGCCACTGGATCAGGAGAGTGACTATTCGTTGGGAGAGGCCAAAGGGTGAGGCCAAGGATGGGAGGATGCAGAGGACCCAGTCCGTGGACACAAAGGTCCCCAACCCCCCACGTCATACCTGCTTCCTGGGACTGAGCCCCCTTAGTGCTGGTGCTGCCCCAAGCCTCAGGGAGCTCACTCGGCTCCCGTCTCAGCCACCCCCACCACTGCCTCGCCCAGAGCCCCTGCATCACCCTTAGTGGGCCCTGAAGACCACCACGATCCATGTAGACCTTGTCAGCCTGAGCAGAGGGGTACACCCTCCCTCCTGGCGGTCATGGTGGTCTTCTGTGCTGTCCACTCACCCCTTTTCCAATGGGACTTCCTGAGACACAGGCTGGCAGGTAGGGGGCTTCCAGCAGGTACTGAGGAAAGGCAGGGAGGCCAGGTTCAAGAGGAGCTGCCTCGAGGGGCCCAAATGGGTCCTTCAAGACTTCAAGCTCTGCAGCTCCCAGATGGCCCGCTGGGTGGGTGGCCCCAGTGCCTGGCGGGTTGGCCGGGTCAGGGTCTGGCTTCACTGCGCTACCCTAGAAAGGTTGAGGCACTGTCCTACCTGTGTTTCTCTCCCCACCCCCCCCAGCTTCCCGTGCCTCCAGGGCCCTGGGGCTGCCCTCCACCCTGCAACACATCTCTCCGCACCAGGCTATCATTCCAGGCATCACAGTGGGGTTTCAGAGTGTTCACGGCCCTTCTCTGTCCCTCAGCTTCAACTGCAATCTCAGCGTTCCTAGGCCTGGCCTTTGAAGCTTCCTCTTATTAATACTCCCCGCCCAGACGCCAAGAGCTCAGAGCCGGGCAGAGAGGATGCGCTCAGCTGGCAGCGGTGGCCCTTCCTCCAGGGCTAAGGACACAGAGCCTTGGGCGGTGGCCTTCCTGCTGCCTCAGGCCAGCTTTGGGGCTTACAGCCATGGTCCTCCTCGGGTGCAGAGGCGGGAATAGAGGCAGGTTATGACACTGGAGGGCTTCGGGATTCTCTGCAACAGCCCTGACTCTGCACCACAGTCCAGCCCCCTACCTGGGAGGCCTCTGGGGGTGTTTCGGGGGCCACGTGATGTGTCCTTGTCCCACACCTGTGCAGGTGGAGCCAGTCCTGAGCAGAAATCTTGCACACACCCCCCATGGACAGGCCTCCGGGAGGGGTGTGGGGACCCCAGTGCAACACCCACCTTGCAGGACAGGCTTGATGCTGGCTGGCACTGGCTTTTCCTTATCAAGCGAGACCAGTGCCGAGTCAGGGAACCCACCTGTGGGCTTTTGGGTCAAGGCAGTAGGCCTGGAGGCACCTCTCAGCCTGGGACTCACAGAGCGGCTTGGCTCCCAGAGCCCCCCCCCACCTTCCCCTTGTGCTGGGGCCACTAAGGGTCCCTTCCCTGGTGCTCCTGTCTCCAGTCTAGCTGCTTCCAGTGCACCTGGGCTCATATGTTAGTCCCTACGGAGTGCCCCCGACTCCCGCACTCTCTGTTCTTTGGGCAGCACAGGTGAGGGAGGGGAGTGGGGGGCATGGCGGGCTGTGCCCCATGCCCCCACCCATGCAGTTCTGTGTGAGTCTGCATCTCCTCTGACCTCTTGACCTCCTGCAGTCTCTGCTGAGGGCGGGGGCTTCCAAGCTTAGTTCCCACCTTCAGAATGTCAACTGTTTACCCCGGGAACTGGGCAGGAAGGGGAGGTAGTTAAAAATGCCAGAGCACACACACCACGAGAACTTCCTGTTCAGCTGGTGCTTGGGGCTGGCCCTAGGATTCTATGGTCTGATGCCCTGGCCTGTCTTGCACTGGGGTTGGTGCCAGAGGAATAGGTGAAGTTGGGCAGCGGACTGCACGGTGGGAGGGGCCTGGTAGGGCCGTAGCCCTCCTCAGCGGAGCCCTGGGCCTTATGGGTGCAGCACCCATGAGGCCAGCATGGAAGTGCAGTGCGGCCCTCTCTGCCATCCTCCACGGTGCCCACTTGGTCCCTGAGCTCTCCTCTGCCCTCCCTGCAGGCAAACCTCTTCCCTGCTGCCCTTGTGCACTTTGGACCTGAGGAGCCAACAGGTGGGTGGGGCCCCCCTCTGCCCACCGCTGCTGACCAGCCCCGGGCCGCGCATCCCAGCTCATCAGACGCCCCAGAGCAGGGGACTTCGGGTCTGGGAGGGAGACCTGTGGCCCCGATACCCCCATACCCTTCTCCTGGGGGCTTCAGGCTGGGTCACGCCCCCTCCCAGAGCAGAGCAGCAGTAGGCAGGGGCACCCCCTTCTCTGTGGCCTGAGGGTAGGCTGGGCCTCCTACAGGCATCTACCTGGAGCCCACGCTGCTGGAACACACCGTTTCCCCGTCTGCAGCTGACGTGCTGGTGGCCAGGTGAGTGTCCACAGAGGGTGGGGAGAGCCCGCTGCCGCAGTGCCCACCATCTGGCACCTCGGTCTTCGTTCTCAGGTCCATGTCCAGGGCTGCTGGAACCCCACCCCCGCCACCAGACCCTGACCCTGTGCCCGTTGAGTTGGAGCCAACTGCTGAAGAAGGGGCAGTGGGCCCCCCTGAGCCCAGCCCTGGGATGGCCCAGCCAGTGAGGAGGGGTCTGGGCAAGGTGCCCAAGTGGCTGAAGCTGCCAGGTACTATGGGGGGTGGCCGGGAAGGGAGGGGCTGCTGGGCGGGAGCCCAGGGCCCAGAGGTCATCCCATGTGTTTGTGCTGCAGCCAGCAAGAGGTGAGAGCCGCCAGCCCAGAGGTGCCACTCTGCCAGCCACAGGACCCCTGCCCACCCTGAGCGGGAATAAACATGCAAGCCTCTCTTGAGACCCTCCTGTCGTCCTTTCCAGGGCAGGGGCCCTCGGTCCTCTGACCCACGGCCCCCCTCCTGCTGCTGCCCCTGCGCCGCGTCCCCAGCCATGGGCCTCCAGCCTGGCTGGACGGTGACGTGGGCCTGGGAGGCTGCTTGCTGGGGCTTGTTCTCCTTAACGAGGGCACAGGTGTCTGCCCTGAACCGCCTGCCCCTTGGTTTTTACTTCACTGACGTTGTTCATGACTCCTCCTCTAGGGAGGACACGAGTTCAGGGAGAAGGACCTCCAGGCATCGCCTGCCTGGCTGCATCTCAGGCTGGGCCCCCAGCCCTTGGCAGGAGAGGGGCGGACGCAGCCCCCACCCTGTGGTGGGACCGGGCAGGGCTGGCCTGGGGTTTCCCGGTGCCCCACCCGCCCCACCATCTGAGCGCACTTCAAAGTGGCTGTGGGGCACGGGCTCTGGCACTTGTCGCCAGCCTCTCCCCTCAGGTCTAATGACTTCCACATGCGCCCAGAGCTTTGAAGCCCTGAGACTCCCTGCAGGAGGGGGGAGAGGGGAGTGGGGGGCAGAGGCGGGGAACGGGTGCAAGAAGGGGCCAGCAGGGCTAAACTAGGGAGGGAGGGCTGGCCCCCCACCCATGCCATCCTGGGTGCCCATGGCAGCAGGGGCAGACGTCCCTCCCCAGCGGACTAGGTCCTCCAGCTCTGTGAGTCCTGACCCCATGGTCCCCGGGCCCAGGGCCCTCTGGGTGTTTCTGTCCTGGGCTGATGAGTCCCAGCAGCTTTCAGAACTGACGGGAGGTGGGTACTGTGTTGGGCAGGGGAGGGTAGCTGGGCCCCAGAGGGCAGCCAGGCCTCCCGACTGGGCTTCTAGCGGCTCCCAAGCAGCTCTGAGCTGCCTGGCCCTGTGGCCCTCGGACCGGTGGTCCTTCCTGCTGGCGTGACTCCCCCTGCCCCACCAGCACCCCTGCCGGGCCGGTGGCACACCACACTCACGGCAGCCCTGTGGCAGAGGCACCGTCCCAGGCGAGCAGCCACACGTGCGAGGGCTCCGATTTCACAGCCTCTTGAGCCTGGCCCACAGCAGGGCACTCACACATGCTGTTTGTTATTCTGTCCTCTCCCAGCTTTGAAGCAACTTGACTTTGGGTGATTAATGGCAACAGGAGGCTGTGCCTGGGGAGGTGGCTCTGATTTACTGACATTGCTTTGTGAGAACAAATATACAGCTCAGGCAAGCATCTTTTGAGGGGAATATCAGATGGCTAGAAGGTGACACACAAGCTTTGATGTCGGTGGCAGAACCACACTGTTCTGCTTGTTTGTGGAGGACACACAGGCTACCTGCTCAGGCAGGCGGGTCTCCCGCACCTGCTTCCCGGTGACCGAGTGCTTCTCCCACATCGGTGGGTGCTCGGCTGTCCTGAGGGCGGGGGGCGTGAGGGGAGGGCACCAACCCAGGTGCCAGGACCCTCATCCTGTCAGTGACCCTTCTATGTGCTGCATCCCGGCCATCAGCAGGCAGAGGGGACGACAGGGGGAAGAGAGTGGTGCTTTGCTGGCACCCAGCCAATCCTGGGAGCTGGAGGAGAACCTTGGGGGATCAGCAGCTCCTGTCCTGTCTGAAGCCAGAGGCCGTGACGTGGAGCGGTGGCCACAGTGAGGGTGGAAACCCCTAGAAGTCCAGAAGCTGTGGGGGAGAGGAGCGCTCAGAGCCTCGTGGGTGTAGCCACCCCCCCACCCCCGTCTCCTGGGCCAGGCCCTGTTCCTGGAGGTGCACCTACCAGCTGAGGCAGCACCTTCTCCAGCTGTTCCACGTCCACTTGGGCCAGGTCCTCTGCCTGGGCCTGCCGGACGCTGCGGATGGCCGCTTCTGCCGTGATGCAGGAGGGAAGTGAGGCAGAGAAGGCTTGGGGGGCCTTGAACCCTAAACCCTGTGCGCCTCAGCCCTGGCTGCTGGCCCACCCCCGTGCCAGCCGACAGCTCAGAAGGCTGAGGTTGGGGCCTCTGAAACACAGAGCTTTTCAGGGACAGGGAGCTTAGGTGCTTGGGGAAATACTGGAAAAATGTGTCTTGGTTACCCCACTGAAAAATAAAAGGCAAAGCGGTCGTGAATGGTCCGGACGGGCCTGGGTGGGATACTAGAGAACACTGCTGGGTCCCTCTGCTCACCCACAACGAAGATCTTGAGCAGCTCGGCCATGAGCTGCAGCGCGTCCCCGCTGACTGCAAGGTGAAGGGAGAAGGTTACAGACACACACCCTCTCCCTGCCGCCCCACTCTGCCCTCACTGCTGCTGACCTCACACTCTTGCCGGTGACCTCAGCCCTCCGTCTGGCCCAGTCCTCTCTGAGGCTCTGGCCCCTGCAGAGGTGCAGTGTAGGGTCCCGGGTGCCCAGCAGTCCCCGGCCACTGCCCCCCCCCCCCCCCTTCACACACCTTTGGTCTTGTCGTCTTTAAAATGCAAGTGCAGCAGCTTGCTCACCAGCTCCTGAGGGACAGAGGGGGCGTCAGTGAGCCACCGCCACCACCCCTCTGCTGCAGACCCCTTAGGCATTTAGTTCTGGATGGGATGGGGTTGTAATTTCTGGCTGGAAATGCTGTCTGTGGGGCTCTCCCAGGGTTGGGGGATTAGGCAGGGGGGAGAAACCTCCCTGTGAGTGCCTCCAGGAGGGCCAGAAATTAGATGCAAGTGGCAGACCGGTGGGAGCAGCCCAGGTGCCTGCCTGCCGCTCTCTGGGGCTCCAGTCCTCATGGTATCCAGAGCAGTCCTGTGCTCCTGCCCCCAGGGACGAGGTGCTCTCCCCACACTGGGCCCCTTTACAGGCCTGTCCACACCACCAATGCCGCCCGGCTTTGCCAGACCCTGCTCTGGGCACTGGGTCAGCTCCATCCCAGGTCCCTCCCTGGAGCCTACGACACGACACGTGGAAAGGGATCTTCCTGTAATGGGGAAGGGCACCGTGGGAACCGCAGAGCTGGGGAGGGGCCAGGCTATCTGCAGGACTTCCTGACCAATGAGGATGGGACAAGGGCGGGTCCAGGCCAAGACTCCTCAAGGGAGAGGCTTGAGCCCCAAAGTATGGCACCACTAAGCGGAGATAGATTCTGGGGATCAGCATCTCAGGAGCTCAGCTTGGAACATGTTGCATGAGGGACACACGTGAGGTGCCCGAGCAGAGCAGCCAGTGGGCGGCTGGAACTCAGAGATGGTTGAAGCTGGCAATGAGGATCTGGGAAGTGGCAGCCCGTGGGTGGACCAAGGGAGGTTGCTGAGGGCAGGAACCAGCCAGAAGAGGGTGCGAATGAGGAGCCAGCAGAGCGCCAGGGGAGGCGGGAGGACAGCAGCAGTGGGTGCCCAGGAGAAACTGGGTGTCGTGCAGGGAAGGTGAGCTGGGGACCCACCAGGCCTCTAGCCTTAGCCACGGAGATGGCACTGCCTCACCCAGTGCAGCTCAGCAAAGCTGGAGAGCAGAGTGGAGGGAGCGGACCCTGACGAAGCCCTGGCTCAGGAGGGTAAGAGCTCCTCACCAGTCACTTGGGGCAGCACCAAAGAAGCAGCCTCATCCTCCCAGCAGTGACCACGTGAGCTTGGCGCCACCTGCTGGCCCTCCTTGCTGTGTACCTGAAAGGTACCAGGAAAGGCACAGAAGGCTCTACTGCTCTGCCAGCTCCCAGACCCCGGGGAAGAGCTGAATCAGCCAAGCTGCTGCTGGGGGGCAGCTGCATGGGGTTGCCGTGATAACTAAAGCAGTCAGCACCAGCTGGGAGCGGAGGTTCCCTAAACTTGCAGAGGGTAGGATGGGACCTGGGATGTGGTCAGCCTTTGCCCCACTGTGTGGAGGCACCACGACCCCTCCCCCTCCCCGGGGACAGCCCTGCTCATGGGTAATGACCATAACCCCAGCTCTGGCCAGAGCCCTCTGAGGGTGAGGGCTCCAGAGCTGCGCAGGACTGCATGAAGGAGGCCCAGCCCAGTGCTCCCCTCTGCAGCTATTACAGTGGAGGATTCCTACAACCCCCTGCCTCGGTGGTTTTCCCTTTGACACTATTTACCCCTTGTAGGCCAGGGCAGAGTGACGATTCTGGGTGACAGAGAGAGAACACCCACTGGGGACTGGCTGGACAAGTACTCATGAGGGGCTGAGACTCTCCCTCCTGCCCTCAAAGGCCTGATATCAAGGACTCAATGTCACCTAACCTTAAGACAGAGCAACAATCTGAGACTCAGACCACTTACAGCCTGCGGGGTGTGGGAGGCAGCTGACCTCACCACCCACCCACCCAGAGCCCCATTTGCCATGTGCAGAGCAAAGGGGCTGACTCTGGAGGCGGATGGCCTGGGTTTGACCCTAGTTCTGCCTCTTTCCCACTGGCAAGTGGGGGTAATACCAGTACCCATGTCCTATGGTGTTGAGCATTACACGGGCTAATCCATTTCAAGTGCATGTAACAGTGCCTGACTGTGCTGGGTGTGCTGCTAAGAAAAGCACTTGTAGAGCCACGTACACACCAGGCAACGAAGCCAGCCTGGCTCAAGTGAGACGCAAAGCACAGGGCTGGCGTGATAGGAAACAGGCCAAAAGGAAGCTTTAGAATACGCAGGCGCCGAGACTACCCGCGAGCTGGGCCGCACTGTGCTCTACGCTAAACTCTTTAGGGTGAGTCCTGCGGATCCCGGAGCCGCGGGGCGGGGGCCCAGGCTCCTCTCTGAGCCTCCCTTCATTTGTGCTGGCACTTACCCCTGCCCGATTTCTGCAGACCCTCTCCCTCTTGCCGCAGACCAGGCTGCCTACCCAACCTTCCGCTACCCGGCCGCGGAATCCCATCCACGGAGGACGAAAGGTGTGCAGGACGAGGGTCATTGCCAGATTCTGGGAATGGGCTCACCCTATAAGCCACCCGACGGCAGCGCGGGGGCTGGCTCAGGATCCGCACGTGGGTCACTCAGGGGACCGGGCCGCAGCGTCCCCGGCGGCCTCGCCCCGCGCCCCCAGCCCGCCCCGCCAGTAGGCCCTCTCTCACTTTCCGGAAGCCGGCGCCGATTTCCTCCATGACCGCCACCAAGGTGCGCGCCCTCCCGAGCCCCGCCCCCGCGTCCCCAGCCAATGAACCTTGAGCGCGCCCTCCGGAGACCCTCCCTCGCGACTCCAACCAATCGACAAAGAGCGCGCCTTCTGGAGCCCCGCCCCCCACCTCCAGCCAATGGACCCTCCGCGCGCGCCCGCTCCTTCGCCTTCACTGGCCCGCGGTGAGAGCCCCTCCTCCGCAAAGCCTCCTGGGAGTTGTAGTTTCCGCCAGGTCTTCCCGGCGCTCCCTGCTCTTCCTGGATACTGAGGCGCGCGGCGGCCGCGACGAGCGAGCTGGGGTCAGCGGCGCGAGGGCTGGGGCATCGGTCCCGGAGCCCAGGGGTACGGGCGACGTCCGGACGGACCGGCCCCGCCGCTGGAGGCCCCGCCCCCGAGGACGCCCCACCTCCTCGGTCCCAGGCTTCAGCGGTCCGCTGGGAATCACCCGCCCCTGCCCTCCTGGGGCCTCGCGCCTGTTGGACCAACTCAGTTTGCGCCTCGTTTCTTGGCTGCTGAAGACTTAGAGTCTTTGTGCCCCCACTGAGCTGCCGGGGGCTCTCTGAAGGCCCCCAGGGGAGAGGCCCTGCCGTACTGCCCTTCCCCGGCTTCCCGGTCCCAGCTGGCTCCTGGTGAGGCCTGTCTAGGCGCTTTCCGGGAAGCCCTTCCTGCACCCCAGGGACATGGAGGAGTTCCGGCGCACCTACAGCCGGCTGTGCAAGGAGAGTGGGGCCGAGCCCCAGGAGACTGTTCTGCAGCAAATGCACCAGCTGCCGCAGGGCCGGCTAGACCTGGCCACACAGAGCCTGACAGTGGACACCTGCAGGGCTCTGGGCAAGCTGCTACAGAAGGAGGCACTGCTGACGGAGCTCGTCCTGAGTGACTGCATGCTGAGTGAGGAAGGTGGGCACCAAGGGCCGGCGGCCCAGGGCAGCCCTTCCAACTTCAGTGTTGGGGCCGGGCTCCCCTGGCTTCTTTTTGCTCTGCTGCTTATTAGCTGCACATGCCGCAGTCCTTGGTGCTTAGCATCTCTAGCAGAGAACTCAGTCCCACCTGATCTCTTCTTTGTGAGGTTACTCCCTTTTACTGTCATAAAGCAAGCAGCAGCATTCTCTCTGGAAACCCGAGAGCAGAAGGCAATTTCTCTTTGTAATGGGAAAGCCTTAGTGTCCCCTGACTTAGGAGAGTCCCGCTGTGCTGGTGAGCCACCTGACTCCACACCTGGCAGATTTTTCAAACCTGACACAGGAGTGGGGTGACTCTTTTTTGGCATGAACCTTGGCTGGTGGGGGCCACTGGGACAGCCGTCTCTCCCCTATGTGTGGGGAGCTGACCCAAGATGGAGCCACCAGGGGTGGAGAGTGACTGCCCTACTCTCTTACAGGGGCCGTGCTGCTGCTGCAGGGGCTGTGTGTCAACACCATCGTGCGGTTTCTGGATCTCAAGGTGGGTGGATCTGCACTCAGGGGCGTGCCACCTGAGAGCAGGAGTAGAGAAGATACAGGTGTCCTGGTGACCAGGGGTCTGCATGGTGGCCGGAGACTGTGTCTGTAAGCACTCTTAGCACACAGGCTCCGCACCATTTGCTCATGGTCTCACGCACGCGTGTTGGTGTTCTGAGGGCAGGAACATGAGTTCCAGAATGTTCTCACAAGCAAACTGAAATAGCCTGCATTAGGAGGCCACTGCGGGCAGGGAAAGCAGAATTTGAAAGGAGCCACACCTTCTGTTCGCCATGGCCTCCCCCACCGCCTGACGAGGGTATTCAGAGCCCAGCTCAGGATACCGTGGAGTGACTGCCTGGCCTCTTCCTGTCCTAGGGCAATAACCTTCGCGCCTCAGGGGCCGAGGCACTGGCAAAACTCCTCCGACAGAACAAGTCTATTCAGAGGTAGGGGGCTGTCCATTCAGAGGTAGGGTGGCGGTCCCAGCCCCCGCTCTCCCCCGAGCCCCTGCTCTCTCTCTGCGTGGTTCTGGGTTGGCTCCAGCGGACATGGTTCTGCAACATGAGAGTTCACGTCTTCATGCCGGTCTTCCGTGGTGGGGAGTAGGCGGGTATGAGTTACTCACGCACCTCCAGCCTTTCTGCCAGAGACACCCAAGCCTGTGCCCCTCCTCAAGCCCCCTGGACCCCATGGGAGCAGGATGCCCTTCGGGGCCACGCACCTCACGTCCACCCTTCCTGCAGCCTAACCCTGGAGTGGAACAGCCTGGGCACGTGGGAAGAAGCCTTCGCGGCCTTCTGCGGGGCCCTGGCAGCCAATGGCGCCCTGCGGCAGCTGGACCTCCGCAACAACCAGATCAGCCACAAGGGTGCCGAGGAGCTGGCTCTGGCCCTGAAGAGCAACACCAGCCTCCAGCAGCTTGGTGAGGCCGCCAGCACTGGCCTCTTCGTCCTCAGACCGGGCCAGGAGGTCTTGGTCTGGGGGGGAAGGGGGAGGGGTTGCATCTCATCGCTTCCTCAGCCCTCCCACTGCTTCCTTTGTCCTCTCCCAGAAGGGTGGGGGTGGGAGAGGAGGGGCACGCTGAGCCGGGCTCCTGATCTGTGGCCGATCACAGGGAGTACCAGTGTTCCAGGCTGGGCCAGCCCTCCCACCCCCGCCCCGTGCTTTCCATCTGGCAACACCAGATTTCCCTCCAGACCTGCGCTGGAATCACATCGGCCTCCTGGGGGGCCGCGCCCTGGTAAACTGTCTCCCCAGCAACAGAACCCTGTGGAAGCTGGAGCTGGCTGGGAACAGCATCCCCGGCGACATCCTCAGAGCCGTGGGTACGGGCACATGGAGCCGCTGGTGGCTTGCACTGTTTGGAGCAGGGCATAGAGCTGATTCCCTGTGTCAGAGATTCAGCCACTGAGCGAGGGGTGGCTTGGGCCAGAACAAGTAAACACGGCATCACGATGGTAGCATGTTAAAAACAGAGGAAGTGAGAGCAGGCTCCAGGGAAGAAAAGGCAGCGGCAGGAGCCTGCAGAGCGCCGACTGCCTGGTGCTGCGCCTCACCCTCCTCGCACCATGGTCTCCGCCTGTCATGACCCTGACTCTTCAGCCCCAAGCCCACTGAGCACTCTGCCACTCCCCATGGCTCGTTGTCCCACCGGCAGCGCCAGCCACCCAAGGGCCCGAGCCTGGGCTGCAATCTAGTGTGGCATCACCACCTGCTGGGTCTGCCCAACGCATGTCCTCTCCCACTTCTTGGTTCTTGGGCCTGCCTCTGAGTCACCCCAGTTGGCACTGTGGCCACTTCGGGCTGGCCTCTCTCCAAATGCTGCCTGGACCTTTCCAGAGCATGGGAGCTGAGCACACCGTTCACCTCTTAAAGTCACACACTGGCCTTTGGCCTTTGGGGCGGAGCCCAAATGCCCACCTTTTTTGGCAGTTGAGCAGCCTCCCCACCTCTCCCCGTGTGCCTGTTCCCCCTCCCAGGCTCCTGGCTTCACTGTTGTCCCTACCCCCACCCCCTCTGAGCCCCTCACCTGCTAGTGCACTGAGGGGTCTGATTTGTGGGGTGAGATACCAACTTGCGCAGTGTCTTCTGGGCATGGGGCTGGGCTGGCCGTTGGCCACTCCTGGGGCTCGGCCTCCCGGTAGACAACTTGGCTCTTTCCAACAGAGCAAGCCATGGATCACAACCAGGACCGGCAGACCGCCTTCCGGGAAAGCCAGGCCCGCGCCCACGTGCTCAGCAAGGAGGTGCGGCACCTCCGGGAAGAGAAGTCCAAACAGGTGAGGACAGTGCTGCCTCTGACTGCAGGGCCTCGCCCCGACTCCAGCCCCGCCCTGGCTGTATGGACAAAGGGCCCCCTCAGCCCCCGTGCCATGGCCTTGTTCCTTCCTTCTGGGCCCTGGAGCCTCTCCAAGCAGCCAATACCCAGGCCTAGGAGGCAGCCTCTTGTTCTGATGCCCTCTGGCTGGGTGGGCGGGTAGGTGGGCTTCCCCTCTGGGCCTCCCTGCGTGGGAGCCACTCTCCCTTTGGATGAGGCCGAGCCCTTTCGTGTCCTGCTGCCTCAGCGGATGTCTGCCCTCCTGTCCGCTGACGGTGGGGAGTGGGCGGGCTCTGGGCCCTGACCGGGCTCTGGCTGGCTCTGTCCCCAGTTTCTGGACCTGATGGAGATGATCGACAGACAGAGAGAAGAGATGGTCAGGACCAGCAAGTGAGTGTGGCCCCAGGGCCAGGGGGCAGGGAGGTGGTGCGCTGGGGGTACCCGGGCTTCGGGTCCTCACTCTGGCCTTGGAGTGACCTGACGTGAGCCTCGTCGCCTGCCCGTGAACAAGGTTGTGGGGTGTGTTTACTGAGGGAGTTGACTGGAGGGTTAGAGGCTGCACCGCGACTTCCTCAGCCACACCTGGAGGTGGCGTGAGTGTGAGGAGCAGCAGCTGCCGCAGGGAGGGGCCCAGAGGGCGCCAGCGTTTGGGTCTCTTGAACCCTCCTCTGTGCCCACAGGGCGTCGGCAGCACGCGTGGGGCAGCTTCAGGAAGCCCTGAACGAGAGGCATTCCATCATCAACGCTCTCAAGGCCAAGTAAGGAGGAGCAGAGGGTAGGACGGGTTGTGCGGAGGCTTCAAAACACTTTAGAGACCTGCCCACAGGGCAGAGGAGGACTGTCCAGACAAGGACTCAAGTCCCCAGTGTACAAAGGAGGTGGAGGGACCGCTGGGATGGTAACCCGGGAACGCTTCTTGGAGGAGGTGGGCGCTAGCTGGGGTAATAGTCTGGTAAGAGTGAGAGCAGCAAGGGCTTAGCAGAGTCTAGAGGAGGGATGGGGTGGGGCTAGCCCTTCCCTCCTTGCAGGCTGCAGATGGCTGAGGCCGCCCTGGCTCTGTCAGAGCAGAAGGCCCAGGACTTGGGGGAGCTCCTGGCCACCGCAGAGCAGGAACAGCGGAGCCTGGCACAGAGGCAGGCAAAGGAGCACAGGCTGGAGCAGCAGGTGGGCAGGGAGGGCTGGATGGGCAGGTGGTTGGGTGTGGGGTAGGCAGGCGGTGCGTGGTGGCAGGTGTCCAGTGGTGCCCTTTCCCCATCTGACCCCCAGGAAGCTGCAGAGCGGGAGTCTAAGCTCCTCAGAGACTTGTCTGCTGCCAATGAAAAGAACTTGCTTTTGCAAAACCAGGTATGGGGGCAGGGTGTGGGGGCAGGTCCTTGGAAGGCCTGGGGCAGGGCTTCAGGGAAGGGGCCAAAGCTTCCCTCCCTCAGTGCCGGTTTTCCAGGTGGACGAGTTGGAGCGGAAAGTGAAATCTCAGCAGGATCAGCTGTTCCTGACCAGGCAGGAGCTGACCAATACGGCAGCTGAGCTGAAGATGCGGGCTGTCCAGGCTGAAGGTGGGCACACACGGGCCTGCCACTGGGTCCTGAGAACCAAGGCCCCCAGAGGAGTCCTACCCACGTTCTTCCCCTGTGCTTCCAGAACGCCTGGAACTGGAGAAGAAGAGATCCCGGCAGAGCTTGGAGGACGCGGAACACCTGCGCTTCAAGGAGGTGCCTCATTAGTTGTGTCGTCTGGCCTTTGCTCTCCCCGCTTCATCGGGGCCTGCAGACACCTCGGTGTGGCATGGTGTCTCCAAGGCGCACTCCTGGCCAGGCTTCCCTCGACAACCTTGGGGTGCTGGTGGCATTTCTCCAACAGCCCTGGTAGATGTCAGACCCAGAACCTGCCCACCAGTTTCTAGAAGGGACCCTGACTGCTGGGGCCACAGTGCAGGCTGCCATGTGCTCTGTGCCACCTGGGGTGCAGCACTGGGACGTGCCATCCATCCTCACTTCCTGTGAGGTCACTTGGGGCAGCCCTCACTCGGAAGTAACAGAGTCCCCAAGATTCACCTGCCCCCAGGGTGGGGATCCCAGAGGGGAAGGCTGGGGAGCCAGCGTGCCAGCCCTGTCCCCACCCCACACCTGGGCAGGTGGAGCACATGACTCGCCACCTGGAGGAGAGCGAGAGGGCCATGCAGGAGAGGGTACAGAGGCTGGAGGCTGTGCGGCTGTCCCTGGAGGAGGTGAGCTGGGCGCCAGGCTCTGCTCTCCCCTAGGGAGGCTGGGTGTGGCCAGAAGGGGTCCCTGGGCAGGGGCAGAGGGCAGGCCCAGCCGTCACTGTCTGCGGTGTAGGAGCTGAGCCGGGCAAAGGCCGCGGCACTCAGTGAGCGCAGCCAAGCTGAGGAGGAGCTCATCAAGGCCAAGAACCAAGTCCGCCTGGAGGAGGTGAGCCCAGGGCCACGGTCCGCTGCTTGCAGCGCCCACTGGGGAGAGAGGTCTGAGGGGTTGGCATGAGCTGCCTGGGTTGCACAGCCCTTTGGGCTTAAGTGGGCCAGACCAAGGCTGTCTTCTGACTCTGTAGGGAGGGACAAGGGAACAGGAGGTCCAGGGGTGCAGAAAACTTAGACGAGGACACTCATCCCATCAGCACCATATCCAGCCCCCCCCACGCCCACGCAAAGAGCCAATGTCCTCCAGCCCCAAGGTGGGGAAGGGGTTTGGCCCAAATGTGCAGCCTGTGACCACATGGTGGAAGTAGGGGACCAGAGGCCAGAGGGCAGGCTGGTGTCAGCCTGGGACATGGGGGAGGCTCCTCATTCAAGTTGAGCCCATTCAGAGCAACATATGCTATAACTTTAGTGACAAGGCAGTTTCCACATTGCAAATATACGCTCCTCTTTGTCTGAAGGTGGGGCTGGGGGGTTCATTCCTCTCGTGAGCTCAGGGCCACAGGCCAGAAAGCAGCTCACCAGCCCCTCTCCCGGGCCCGCAGCAGCAGCGCCTGGCTCACCTGGAGGAGAAGCTGCGGCTGCTGGCGCAGGCTCGGGACGAGGCTCAAAGCGCCTGCCTGCAGCAGAAGCAGGTGGTAGCCGATGCCCAGGCGCGGGCCAGCCAGCTTGGCCGGCAGGTGGAGGGCCTGAGGCGGCGCCTGGAGGAGCTGCAGCAGGTAGCCGGAACATCGAGGGCTCCCAGGGGTGCCCCTGGTGCCCCCAGCTGCCACCTCACTCCCCCCACCTCCTTGCCTGGCAGGAGCTGAGCAACAAGGACCAAGAAAAGGCGGCTGAGGTGACAAGGGTGCGGCTGGAGCTGCAGGAGCAGAATGGCCGCCTGCAAGCCGAGCTGACAGCCCAGGAAGCGCTGAAGGAGAAGGCAGCGGCCCTGGAACGCCAGCTGAAAGGCGAGCTGAGCCCCACCCCCACCCCCCTGTGGCTTCTCTGCAGGGCCTTTCTTACTGGGTCATCCCACAGGAGAAGGAGGAGGCTGGCCTGGAGAGCTGAGCTTGGCCTAGGTCTCAGCTCCAGGAGGTGCTGGTAGGGGAGACTGGGTATGTGTGTGCCCAGGGGACCCCGAGCAAACCCCACCCTGCCGGCCCCCTGCGGACCTCTGGATTGGCAGGAGCCCAGGCAGTCCCCAGAGCCGCTTCCTCACTGGGCTTCCTCCCTTGCAGTGATCGCAAGTGACCACCGGGAGGCACTGCTGGACAGGGAGAGCGAGAATGCCTCTCTCCGTGAAAAGCTTCGCCTTAAGCAGGCCGAGATTGCCCGGATCCGGGATGAGGAGGCCCAAAGGGCCAGCTTCCTGCAAAATGCTGTTCTGGCTTATGTGCAGGGGTCCCCCCTGAGGACCTTGAGCCCCCAAAAGTGAGGGGAGGCAGGGAAAGTCTGAAAGTGGCAGGAAGGTGGCATCTGTTGGACGTCTTTGTCTGCTCCTCCCTTATAAGGGACAGGCCATGGGTAGGTCCGGGCTCTTTAGGCAGGGTCTACAGACGGTGACTTGGAAAATCAGTGCTGGAATGGATGTGAGAGCAGGACGGCTGCAGCTTACCACCAGCGTGCCCGCCTGCGGGGGGTCCAGAACCTCGCTGGAGAGGGCCCCATCCCCATCCCCACTCCTTCATTCCCAATCACAAGGAATGATGCGCCTGAGAACACAGACCCATGTTGGAAGGAGATCTGGGGGAGCAGGCCTGAGCTCTCCTGGCCCCACCCACCACAGTTCAGTCACCTTTCACAACCATGAGCTCCGCAGGCCCCAGCGCTCACTCCAGGGTGTTCTGAAATACAGACTTTTGCAATTTGTGATACATTTTGGCCCCAGTGCCTTTATCCAGTATCAGTCTTTTCTCCAAGCTTGGGCCCGTCAGGAAAGGCCCTCCAGGTGTGGCTGGGTCACCCCTTCTAACTGCTATCAGGTAGGGATTGGTCCAGCTACTGCAGCAGACAGGTGGGGATGGGGGCAGCTTGGCAGGGGGCTGCCTGCCTCGTGGATCTCTAGTGACTGCAAACACCTGAGTTTTCACCAGCTGTCTCGTGGTTAGAGGGTGGGTGGGCCTCAGCCCCTCCCTCGGTGGGCCCTGGGAATCCTCTCCCCAGAAGAAACCTTGTGTGCACCGACCACAACCTGTTCAGGTGGGTGGGAGCAGCCTGTCTGCGCTGCCCTCGCCCCTTGGCGTGGGTCACAGGGGCTCTGGGGAGGGCCTGCCCAAGCTCGACACGGATTGCGGGGCGCCCTGTGACCCCGCCCCCCACCAGATTTCCCTGGAAGGCGCGTCAGCCCGGGTTCGGGGCGGGTCCGCGCCCCCCGCCCTCCATGCCGGCCGCGTTCGGCTGTCTCCGCGCCCGGCGCTCGGCGGCGCTCGGCTGTCTCCGGCCGCTCGGCTCGGCGCTCGGCTCGGGTCCGCGGCCGCTGCGGCGCCGGGCATTTCTCCGCAGCTCGGCTCGCGGCCGCGCCCGCCCGGCCCGCGCCCATGCAGGCCATCAAGTGCGTGGTGGTCGGCGACGGGTGAGTGCGCGAGGCGGAGGCCGCTCGGCCTGGCGCGCCAGGCGCGCCGGGAGGGGTTGGCCCCGGGGACCCTCCTGGGCAGGGCGCGGGGCTCCGGGGCGCGGCCGGGACGGAGGGGGCGGCGCGCGGTCCGGGGATCCCGGCTTGGGGTCCAGGCGGGGCGGCCCCGACCGGCCCGTGGGCGTTGGGGGACCGGGCAGCGGCGGGAGGACGCGGTGGGGCGGGGTCCCGGCTGGTCGCGGGGCGCAGGCCTCCAGCCCAGGCCCACCTGATGCTGCCGGCAGCCAGCGGCCCCTCCTGGCCTCCCGGTGGGTGGGGCCAGGCCTCTCACCTGGGCTGAACCCTCAGCCGGTGCCACCTTCCCGGCACCTGCCTGGGGCTCTGAGGCAACTCGCCCCAGCCCTCACCCACCACTCTGCCACCCCGGAGGCCCTCCTGCCCTGGTCCTCTATCGCTGCGGATCTGCTGGGCAGGCAACCCTGTTCCCACCCTGGGCACCGTGGGAGGGGGCTGCCCTTGCTGGGCAGAGGGCTGAGGTGGGTCTGGGAGCAGCGTGGGCTTGCCCTCTCTCCGCAGCGCCGTGGGGAAGACCTGCCTGCTGATCAGTTACACGACCAACGCCTTCCCTGGAGAGTACATCCCCACCGTGTGAGCAGGCGGGCGGGTCCAGAGCTGGCAAGGGGAGGGTATGGATGCCTGTGTGCGGGGCTCCCCTGGGCTTCGAGGTCGGGCCCAAGTAGCCCTGGTCTGGGTTCCGGGGTGAGGCGAGGTGCTGACAGAGCTCCAGGTCTGTGCAGGCCTGAGAACCCAGACACGGGGGGGATCTCTCTCACTCTGTTTCCTGCAGTTTTGACAACTATTCTGCGAATGTGATGGTGGACGGGAAGCCTGTCAACCTGGGGCTGTGGGACACCGCTGGGCAGGAGGACTACGACCGGCTTCGGCCACTCTCCTACCCCCAAACTGTAGGGGACCACAGGGCTGCCTGCAGGGGCCGGGTGGCTCGGGTGGAGGCCCAGAGGGCCTGGTGTGCGTGCATGCGTGTGTGTGTGTGTGTGTGTGTGTTGGGGGGGTGAGCAGAGGCCATTCGGAGCCTCTTTGACCATTCCTACATGGTACCCTCCCTTCTTCCCTTCTTCCCTCCCTTTCTCCCAAGGACGTCTTTCTGATCTGCTTCTCCCTGGTGAGCCCAGCCTCCTTTGAGAATGTTCGAGCCAAGGTAGGAAAGAGCCAGAAGCAGAGTTGTCTTTCTGGGAGGGGAGGAAGCTGCCCAGAGGACTTGCCCTTAGAGTGCAGGGGTCTCTTGCTTGAGGGCCTTACAGAGACATATTGTCCTTTGGAGATTGCTGGGTATGAGGTCTTAAAGTGGCCCAGAGGGTGATGAGGGGCCAGGGGTGGGGTAGGGGTGGTGAGTGAGGCTCTCAGAGAAGGAAGGGCCCTGACTGAGAGGACCTGACGGGCCTGGAAGCGTCTTGGCTAGGTATTTTTGTTCTTGGTCATTCCCCTACCAGACCCAGTGGTCGCCCCGTGAAACAAGAAGGGCTAAGTGTGGGTCTAGGCACAAGGAAGGGGCCTTTGGGAGCCATGGCCTGCTCTGGGCCAGGCTGAGGGTAAAGCTCTCAAGGGGTAGGGATCAGAGCCTCTCATCCCCACAGTGGTACCCAGAGGTTCGGCACCACTGCCCCCACACGCCCATCCTCCTGGTGGGCACCAAGCTGGACCTTCGTGACGATAAGGACACCATTGAGCGGCTACGGGATAAGAAGCTAGCGCCCATCACTTACCCCCAGGGCCTGGCCATGGCCCGGGAGATTGGTGAGTGGGCACGGACAGGCCTGCCGGTGCAGGGAGGAGAGGTTCGCTCTGGGGGGCACAGTGCTGCCCCCCGCTGCCCGCCTGTGCTGCCTGCCACCCTCACTCTTCTCTTTCTTCGCTGCCCCCAGGCTCTGTCAAGTACCTGGAGTGCTCAGCCCTGACCCAGCGGGGCCTGAAGACTGTGTTTGATGAGGCCATCCGGGCTGTGCTCTGCCCGCCTCCTGTGAAGAAGCCGGGGAAGAAGTGCACGGTCTTCTAGAGCCCTCACTTCTGGAGGAGCAGCCCCCAGCCGCCCGCGCCTGTATCTGTTGTGTTGAGATGTCTGGTGTCCCCGAGTCTGCTGTGGGGAAGTTTTGTGGGTGGGGAGGGGGAAGAATCACGGGGACAAGGCTGCTGCTCCCGGGGTGGTGCTGGGGCCATGGGGTCCTGTCCACTCTGCCTCCTCTACCTGGGGGTACAGCTCCAGCCTTCCCTGGCCCCCAGGGAGTCCGGAAGGGAGCAGGGTCTCCCTCAGGCTGCAGGGGCAGGTCCAGGGCAGCCCCAGGATGGGCTTCCCTGATGGGGGAGTTTGTGGGGTGGGTTCTGTCCTTGTGCCCCAGGATGGGGCAGCCCCTTTTTATTTTATACAATAAACGTTCTTCATCATCTCCTGCTGTCTTGCTACCTGCCCTGCTCCTGTCTCCCCCTGCCTGCTCCTGCACCCTGAGGGTGCCAGGCCCCCAACCCCCACCATCCACGGGTACAGAGCGGGTGAGCTTCACACACACACACACACACACACACACACACACACGCCAGAGGATAGGAGGAAAAGTTTGCGGAGTCCTCTCAGTCTCCAAAGGAGGACCCAGATCAAAGTGGGGCCAAGTGCATTTGGTCCCTTCTGGATGAAGAAAGCCCTTCTCACGCTGACTTCAGGCCTCTGGGAGGGCACAGCCAGGCGAGCGAGGGGCAGGATGGTCTGCAAGTCAGGCCCCGTGGGGCCCTGTGGAGCCCAGGGCAAGGCCAGGGGACACTAGCTGAGTGTTCAGGAAGACAGACCGTCAAGAGGAAGGACGTCCAGGCAGAGGGACCCTGCAGCCGTGGAGGTAGAACAAACGTGGTGTGGAGAGGACAGGAGGGGTTGCAGGTGGGCCAACAGCCTGGCATCGCTGGGCAGACAACGGCGGGAGGTGAGGGGCGGGCCTGGCCTGGAGCTAGGACTTCACCCCTGAGGCCACAAGGCACTACTCTGGTGTGATGAGAAGGCACACTGCACCCCCGCAATGGTGTGTAGAGGGTGGACTGCTGAATTTCAGGAATTTTGCTAGCCAGTTTTTAAACAGCTATTGTTAATAATTATATAAACTTATATTAGTTGTATTAAAAAAATGAAATTAACAAATACTCAAAACACATCACTTCCTAAATATTTTTGTACATATTACTATTATCTGTGCTATCGGGTATAAGGCTTTTCTATCTGTGTGGTGGGGACACCACACAAAGGTGGGGGACACGCATCTCTCCCCAGCTCCACCTCAAGGACAGTAAACAGGCGGGAGTATTTTACCATAGAAGTTGGCAAATTCTACAGCTGGAGCTTGTGCTCAGTACGTGGTGAATAACTCACAAAGTTGAGGGAATGAAAATTGAAAAACGTCATCTGATTCAGCAAAGAAGTCGCTCAAGTCATCAACAAAGTAATGAAGTCCCAACACACAGCATCCTCAGTTCACGTCTGTCTTATGCATGGACTTCAGGAATGCCAACCAACACTCATGTTAAACACACCACTGCTTCCATACCACAGACCTCTGGACAGGGCCAAAGGCCATCCTCGGTCAAATTCACCACCCTCATTAGGAGCTGGCCTTCTGGAAGGTTCTACCTCCCAGTCCTGCCAGGGACTTAGCCAGGCCTGAAAATCTCTCACAGGAGGGACAGGCTGCCACTGGCCCAGGACGTGAGTTGAATGGTTGCCTCTACCTGGGACTCATCCCCACACCCAGCCCTGAGTGCTACATCTTCCAGCCACTTGACTGCAGCCTAGGAATGAGTGTGCAGGCTGGGCAGAAGAATCATGTTTATTGGAGGGATGGGGAAGGGGGGTGGGGGTAAAAGTGGGCTCAGCATGGAACATGTGTGTGTGTGGGTGGTGGGGCTCAGGTAGCCAGGAAACCTCCATCCACCGGCACAGTGGAGCCCGTGGTCATGCTGCTGCGGTCACTCAGCAGGAAGAGGATGGTGTCTACCACGTTCTCCACCTCTGTGGGCGGGGTGGGGTTCAGGATGTGGTTGAAAGGAGCTGCCCTTCATCCTTCCCTCCCACCCCTCACCTGAGCAAGCCACTGATGCAACTCCCAGCTGGGCTCCCACCTGACTCACCGGCAAACTTGCCAAGTGGGATGCGATCCAGCATGGTCTTGGCCTTCTGGGGGTCGCTCCAGTTGGCCTGGCCCATGGGTGTCATCACCACTGTGGGGTTGAGTGCATTCACACGGATCTGTACTGGAACAAGAAGGGGGTCAGCTGGGTGGGCTGAGGCTCTCTGGGCACGTGGGCTGGGTGATGGGAAGGCATCCCAGTGGGGCTCACCTGGTGTGGCCCAAGCTCCAGAGCCATTACCTTGGTCAGCATGTCCAAGGCACCCTTGGTGGAGCCTGTGAGGAGAGACAGCCTGTGTGGAGCCTGAGCTGGCTGCTCAGGCTGGGGGGTGGGGGGTGGGGGGCAGGGCACAGCCGGGGCTTGCTCACAGTAGACGCTGTGGTTAGTCAGTGCGCGCTGGGAGGCCTGGCTAGAGACATTCACGATGGACCCCGGGGCTCCCCGAGCTATTAAGCCTCGGGCCACGATCTGGAATTGCAGAGGAAGCATGAGGCAGAACTGGTGTCACCCCCCAGTTCCCACTCCGGCTCTGAAGGCAGCTCACCTGGGACACCTGGATGACAGCCCGAAGGTTCACGTCAAAAGACCTGGAAGTAGATGGATAGACCGCGGTCAGGGACTGGGACTGCTGCAGCAGGAGACAGCCCTTCCCCCCGGGAGTTCCTCCACCCCACCCTGGCTCACGTGTCACACGCCTCCTTGGTGACCTCCAGGAAGGGCTGCAGCAGCGCCACGGCAGCATTGTTCACCAGCAGGTCCACAGGGCCCACGCCGCCCAGCGCTCGGTCCGTGGCCTCCCAGTCACCCAGGTCCACACACACAGGCTCTACCCCTGGGCACTGTGTGTATTAGGTGGTAAGGGGGCACATCTACCAGAGGATCCATGCCCAAGAAAGGGTACATCTGGGCCTCTGGCATGCGAGGGAGAAGGGCTGGGTTTGCATGGCCTTTCAGTTCGACAGGGGGAGGGGTTAGGGGTTCCAGAGGAGCCAGTCACCTTCTTGGGGCTCAGAATCCCAGGCTGCTGCAGGTGGAGGGTAGTTAACTCGGCCTCTGGGCCACTGGGCAACTCGGGGCTTCGGGAACCGGAGCCTGGCCCCGCCTCCGGCCAGTCTATTTCCTCCCAGCGCCCGAACGCGTCTGGCCCCGGGCCTGCAAGGCAGCCATTTCTGCCTGCTCCTAAGCCCAGGGGGAGTCGTCGTTCTCCCAACCCGTCGGCCCCCAACAGAGGCCGTGCGCCCGGCGTGGGGAAGGGTGTGCAAAAGTCCTTGGCGAACCCTAGCGCCCGGCGGCCGCGTGTCCCGGCCCGCCCTCAGCCTCGCCCGCCGCCCGCAGGGCTGGGACAAGGCGACGCCTACCTCGCGGACCAGGCTGTCCAGGTCGGCCTGGGTCCGGCTCACAGCCACCACTTGTGCACCCGCCGCGTGCAGCGCCTGGACAGTGCTGCGCCCGATGCCTGCGAGGAGCGCGGCTCAGTGCGGGCGCCCCTCCCCGGCCACCCCCTCCCAGACCCACCTTTGGCCGCCGTCCCGGGCCCACCTTTGCCCGCCCCAGTGACGAGCGCCCGGCGCCCCGCTAGGCTCAACTCCATGAGGCTCGAACCCACCCTGTGCACTGCTGAGGCCCAACTGCGTGCCTGGGTCCAGCTGCGCGCGACTGTCCGGGAGGGCGCGGGGCGGGGCGGGACGCGGCGGGCCAATTGCAGGGCGGTGTCCTGGGGAGGGAGGGAATATTCAAATAGAGGCTTCCCCGCGGGGGCGATTGGCCGAAAGGAGTGGGCGAGGCCGGGGCGGGGCAGGCTGGGTCCCCGCTGGACTCTTGGGCGGGGTTTTTCAAACTGCCCTGTTGTGACCCTTCGAACCAGAGTGAAATAGGTTTAGCGGGCCCCGCTAGCATATTTCCCCTGCCAAGATGATTATTACAAAAAAACAGATGTGGTAATTAATACGTGAAACTAATACGTAATTATACGTAGCTGTACGTGAAAGAGATCTCAGTCAGGGTTAACTTTTTTCTTTTTTTTTTTGCGGTACGCGGGCCTCTCACTGTTGTGGCCTCTCCTATTGCGGAGCACAGGCTCCGGACGCGCAGGCTCAGCGGCCATGGCTCACGGGCCCAGCCACTCTGCGGCATGTGGGATCCTCCTGGACCGGGGCACGAACCTGTGTCCCCTGTATCGGCAGGCGGACTCTCAACCACTGCGCCACCAGGGAAGCCCAACTTTTTTTTCTTTTGTTTCTGAGAAGAAAAGTTTGGCAAAAAGGATCACATGCTCCCCTCCCCCAGACCTGGGAGTAGCTCACGCAGGCTCACTTGTGCTTAGAGGGAAAGGGTTTGGACAACCCAATAAGCCTGAAGAAGAGGCCAAGGCCAGCAAAGGTGTGCTTTAGCCTCAAAGGGAGTTGAAAGGCTGACTCACCCCACCAACCCACAGAAGGCCACCAGGACTTTAAAAACTTGGATAGGATGGGAAGGGATAGGCTTAGGGTCATGGGGTACCCAGTGGCCAGCAAGGGCAAGCATTGCTTCCTGCAGCTTTAGGGTCAGAGATACATGTGTGCTCACGTGTCCATGTGTGCCATTGGCTCCTCCTGTAAAAGCTACTTTGTTCTGTGGGTCATGGTGGGAAAGTCTAGAAACGCTGCCCTTGAGGACCTTCTGTGGACAGGAGTAAGGAAGTGGTGATTGCAGGGCCTCTGGGTCACTGTGGCTTTGGGCCCAGAGAGGTGGACAGTCTGGAGGAGAGGGTGGCTGGGGACAGCAGGAGGCACAGGTTTGAGAAGCCCCTGGAGGATAGCCAAGTGAGTCCTCCCTACCAGATCTGGCACTGTGGTGCAGCCGACACCCTCTAGGCACTGGGCAAACCCTGCCTTCTGCTGCTAACCTTGGACCCTGCCGTCTGCCTGCCAGAAGCCAAGGGGAGGTGGGGAACAGCCCCCAGCCTGTCCTTCCTGAAAGGGACATCTGCTTAGGTCCCTTCACTGTCTTTACCTGGCCCCCAGAATGGTGTCCAAATCCTTTCACTTGCCCCGTGATCCTCAGTGGACCAGCTGGACTGAGCCAAGCCTGCTTTGGCACAAACCTTGCTCTGGGAGGCCCTGAGGCTGGCTAGAAGTGCCCTCAGCACTCCCCATCCCTGCAACGTGCCCTTTGCTCTCTCAGCCCAGTGGTACCATTGCCTGGAGGGCCCCACCCCAGCCCCTCATACCTTGCCCCCTTGCCCAGAGTTGGACACTGCACCAGTCCAGCTGACTGACCACCTCAGGCCTCATCACACCCACACTCAGAAGGCATGGGTCATGTGGAACCTGACCCAGGTAAGCACAGCTGAATCCCAGCAGGGCCTGCAAAACCCTCTAGCTGCCCCAGCTGCAGGGCTGTTTTGTCTGGAGTCAGGCCAGGGACAGTAGGTAGAGCAGCAGCTGTGGAACCTTCCCCAGCTGGGGCTGCCCTCTCATGGGTGGTCTTGTGGGGGAAGGTGTGCCCCAAGGAGGAGCTGGTTGCTCAGGGTTGGATAAGCTATAATGGTCCAGCACCCCGCCCCTCACGCCGGGCGCTGAGCGCTCAGTCCCATCTTCCCTAGGGATAGCCTATGGTCCAGAGCATCTCCCCGCAGGTCCTCAGACCCTCTACCCTCTCCGGCCGGCGGTAGTGGGGGCGGGGGGGGGTGCATGCTGGGCTGAAGGGCGGTGCCAGAGCCTCAGGGAAGGAAAGGTGGCTGCACGCTGCCCTCTGCCCTCCGCCCAGAGAAGGTTGGGTGTTGCGTTAAGGGCGTGGACATGAGGAATCTTCTTGCAAGGAATCTCGGCCCTTCAGCTCAAGGGCAGGGTCAGCGGTGGAATCCGGCGGGCTTCGGATCTGCCCTCTCTTTACTTCTTCGAAGGTTAACCGGTGCCCCCCAGTCCCTGATCCTCCCCTCCCCAGCCTCGCGGCATGCCCAGCCAGAGCCCTGGCACGGCTAGCTGCAGGAGAAAGGCCTCCATTTAATTAGGCAAATCCACTCCAGCACAGCTGAGGACACAGTGGGTGGGGACGACAGGGGCGGGGTCTCCTGGCACGTGAGTGTGGATGCGGGATGGGCTGGTGGGGCGGAGCCGCGGCGTGGCGTGGAGGTGGGGCCAAGCCGCGGGGCGGGGGCAGTAGGCCGGGCCGTGGGAGATGCGGGGAGGGTCGGGGCGTGGGCGTAGATGGGGCCAGGGGCGTGGTGGGCTGGTGGCCTTGGCGGCCTGGGGGCGGGGCGGTGGGGCGTGGAAGCGGGACCGGGCGGAGCCGAGCACCATCCCTCTGGCCGCCCGGAGCACCGCGCTCTTAGGAGGCCAGGTACCCGGCATCCACAAAGATTCCCGAGCCGCTGGTGGAGGCGCTGCGGTCGCTGAGCAGGAAGAGGATGCTGTTGACCAGGTCTTCCGCCTCTGCGGCGGGTGGCGGGCGGGGTCAGCACGGCTCGGCCCGGCTGTCTGGGCCCGGCCGCCCCAGCCGCGCCCGCCACTACACGAAGCCCAGCTGACCTGCAAACTGCCTCAGCGGGTGGCGCTCCTTCAGCTTCCGGGCGAACTGGGGGTCAGACGAGGCTTCCTGGCCCATGGCGGTAAGCACCACCGTGGGGTTTACCGAGTTCACCCGGATCTGGGGCCGAGGGGCCGGCGGGGCGGTCTCAGCCGGCGCACAAACCCCGCCCTCACAGACCCCACTGAGCTTGCTTACTCACCCCCTGGCGCCCCCTACCCCCGTTTTCATCCCCAGCCGACGCCTTGCCCACCACCCGCCAGCCCCCACCTCACCCCCACCCTGCGCCTACCTCGTGCCTTCCCAGGCCGGGGCCCCTGGCACCCCCAGCTCACCCATGCCTACCTTGTGCGGCCCCAGCGCCATGGCTTTGGTCAGGATGGTCATTGCACCCTCGGTGGAGCCTGTGGGAAAAGGGCAGCACTGAGGACCCTTAAGGATTCAGCCCACTTTGCATGAGGCCCAGCCCAGGAGCCCAGCTGCTCCTGCATGGAATGGGGGCTCAAGTTTGGGCAGAGGGACTCACTGTAGGCAGCTAGGTTGGGAAGGGTGACGTGGGCCGCCATGCTGGAGACATTCACGCTGGAGCCAGGCACTCCGTGGCTGATCATGCCCCGGGCCACAATCTGTAAGCCAAGAGAGGGGGCACCCTGACCCCACCGCACCCCCGCTTGGGCCATGTCTGCACTGGGCCACATCCTCCCACTGGCTCACCTGAGACACCTGGAACACAGTGCAGTTTCACACTGAAGGACCTGGAGGGAGAGGGGACAGTCAGACACACCATGGCCACACCCGGTCCACTTCCTCAGCAGCCCTCTCCCCAGTCCACCTCCTCTCCTACTCCTCAGCTGTCGAAGACCTCCTTGGTGGTCTCCAGGAAGGGCTGCAGCAGCGCCATGGCGGCATTGTTCACCAGCACGTCCACAGGGCCCACGTCGCACAGCGCCTGCTCCATGGCCTCCCAGTCACCCAGGTCCACGGACACAGGCTCTACCCCGGGGCCCTGTGGGAAGGCATTGGCCAGTGACCAAAGGGGGCATCCTGGCAGGCTGGTGAGGCATCCCGGAGGGTCACAGGCCTGGCCCATGGTGGGGCTGCACCTCACCTCATTGGAGAGGCTGACCAGGTCGGCACTGGTATGGCTCACAGCCACCACTCTGGCTCCTGAGGCGTGCAGGGCCTTCATGGTGTCCCGCCCGATCCCTGCAGGGGTGCACGGGGCAGCCAGATGGCGCAATATGTCTGCGCCAAGGCTGCGGGTGGGGGCAGCAGATTTGCTGCTCAGGAAAGAGCGGTGAGACAGTGCTGGCCAGAGGTTGGTGGCCCGGGCGTCAGGGGTCCGGCTAGCCAGGATTCGGCCAAGGGAGGCCCAGAGGGCAGCCCCTTCCTGCTGGGCTGAGGGAAGAGGCCTTGGCTGGGTCCCCCCATCTGCCCAGACTGATTCTGAGGGCCTCCCTCACAGGAGGGCTCTTGCATTGACCAGCGAGAGGCTAGCATCCTGTCCCAATGGGGCCTGCTGGGTGGTAGGGAGCAGTCCAGGCCCAGATCAGCCGGCTCAGGCACAAAGGGACTTGCAGGCCGCAGCATGGGCCTGTGAAGCTCTGGGTCTGGCCACCTTGCTCTCTAACCTCGGCCCCTCACACACCCCCACCTGCCTCGCTCACACCCATCTTTCCCTGCCCCGTCACCAGGGCCCGAAGGCCACTGAAATTCAGCAGCGTGGTGCCAACTCCCAGCCTCTGTACAACAGGAGGCGAGGGCGTGGGGGGTTTATAGGCCTAGGCTGGGGCAGGCTGGGTGGCCAGGCAGGTTTGTGTGTGGTGGGGGGGGCGGGGGCTGGCTGGAGGAGGGAAGACTGGGGGCACTAGGCGGGGCCAGGCATCAGTGCAGCTTCTGCTTCCTTGTTCGCAGAAACCTGTCTCCTTAGAAGGGGCCACCGTCCTCACCCACAACCCAAAGGTGCCAGCCAGAAGCGCCATCCTGGGTTTTGGAAAATAAACTAAAAATAAACCCTGGGGTGGGGAACATGCCCCTTCCTGGCTGGCTGGGGGCAGATGGCCTGGAACTGGTCCCTGCAAGCACTGGGCTTGATGCCCCTGGGTGATGGCCAAGACCACACAGAGGTCCCTCTGGGGAGTGTTCTCCCAAACACCCACAGCTTAAAAAATCTCCCTACCTCCATCAACCCCCACCCAAATCACAACCCAGCAGCACTTGCTTCACTCAGCCAAGGCCATCACTACACTCCAGACACATTTTCAAATGCCAAAGATGATTTTTATTTTGAAATAAAAGCTTCACAGTTGCAAGGATAGTAAGAATTCTTTTCCCCTGAACCATTTGAGAGTAATTTGCAAAACTAACACTCCATCACCCCTAAATAGCTTAGTGTCTGTTTCCTTGGAATAAAGACATTGTCCTACGCAACCACAAAAACACACAATACATACGACACAACCACAACATAACACACACCATCACAACATAGCACAACTGTCAGAGTCAGAAGAGTAACACCATGCGTCCCTACCACGTGATCCTTAGCTCCCGTTCAACTTTCATAAGTTGTCCCAATGATGTTCTTTAAAAAAAAAAAAGAAAAAGCTATATCAAGGTTTAATTGATATATATGACTATGCATATTTAATGTATACAGTTTGATGAGTTTGGACATATGCAAACACCTGTGTGAAACCATCACCATAGTCAAGGTCATGAGCACCCCCAAGTTTCCTCATACCCATTGGTTTTGTGTTTGTGGTGAGGGCACCTCTCACACAGTCCCAGTGCTCAGTACCAACTGTGAACTATAGGTCTCTACAACCTGCTTGTCTGGCATAGCTGAGACTTCCACTCCAGTTCTTTATGGCCAAAGGGTCCAGTCCAGAGTCACATGTTGCCTTTGGAGGTCCCGTCTCTCTGTCTTCCTCACTCTGGAACACTCCTTAGTCTTTCCTTGACCTTTATGACCTTGATACTTTTGAAGAATATAGATCAGTTGTTTGGTAGAAAGTCCCTCAATTTGGCTTTCCCAGTGTTTCCTTGTAATTAGCTGCAGGCTGTGCGTCTCTGTCTCGAGCACCATGGAAGTGACACTGCATCCTCACAGCATCCCATCAGCTGGCACCATTTTGATCGGTCCCATCACTGGTGTTGTTAACTTTGATCATGGGATGGAAGCGGACATCACTAGGACACCACTTCAATCGCTGCGTCACCCTTCCAGGTGCAAAAAGAACACGGCTGCAAATCCTGGGCGAAATGTCCCCTGTGTTCCACACCAACTCAGAACTGTGCGGGGAAAGGAGTCTGGGACCCTAGGTTCAGCCTTGCGCAATTTACGTTGACCAATACAAATCCACCCCAGTCCGTCTAACTTCACTTCCAAGTAAAGCCAAGAGCAAAGTCGGCCTGACATAATTCAACCAACAACACACAACAAAATACATGCTACCCTCTCCCCAGAAGGTGACGTAAAGTCCCTTTATCCATCTCTGGGTGATGTTCAGCCCTCTTCCAACTGAATCACACCCCCCTTATGTATCCTGTAACTTACATGCCGACGTAGAAAGATAACCACTATCAACGCATATTATGATAGACGGTGAGTGAGAGAGAGAAGAGAAGAGAAAAAAAATCGGTTCATATGTACACAAATATATTTGTGTAAAAATGAGGATGAAATTATTATAGTTCTCTTTTCTGCAGCTGGTCACATGGTCACATGGCCATAACTACTGCTTATCTTCTTACACTGCCCATATTCTTTTGTCCTCCACTGCCAGGTGGAGTCAGATCTCTGAGGGTACACATTTTGATTACTGCTTTGAATCTGCTACCATTGTGGCAAGTGTGACCAAGTTGTCTTTGGGGATTAAGTGTGTGGAATCGGGACTTCCCTGGTGGTGCAGTGGTTAAGAATCTGCCTGCCAATGCAGGGGACATGGGTTCAATCCCTGGTCTGGGAAGATCCCACATACCGTGCAGCAACTAAGCCTGTGCGCCACAACTACTGAGCCTGCACTCTAGAGCCCGTGAGCCACAACTGCTGAGCCCATGAGCCACAACTACTGAAGCCCGCACACCTAGAGCCCGTGCTCCGCAACAAGAGAAGACACCACAGTGAGAAGCCTGTGTACCGCAGCAAAGAGTAGCCCCAACTCGCCGCAACTAGAGAAAGCCTGCGTGCAGCAACGAAGACCCAATGCAGCCAAAATATAAATAAATAAAATAAAATAAATTGTGTGGAATCGAAATGGAGCAGGACCCCTATGGTCCTTGCCCCCCATATCCTCAACCTGCCTTTTGTCTGTGGAAAAACTTTGGCCAAAGAATAAGTTTAATCAGAGAATTGAGAAAATGCAGAAACAAAGGAAAACAGTCCAACAAGACTAAATAATAATAGTTTAGTCATTAAGCAAAGTCAAGGACCTTTAGCTCCCCCTCAAGGGCTATAGATAATATACTGAGCCATATCCTTTGAGCTGTCTTCTAGATACTAAAACCCCACCAGGTGGAAGAAGAAAACTACATGATGACCAGACTGTAGCCATGATGTAAGCTGCTACAATTCCAAAAGCTGGCCTCAAA